CCCGCCCCCCCCCGTTTCCTCCTCTCCTGTCCAGGCCATGTGTCTCCAGCTCCCCACCCGGCTGGCTGGTGGCCCTCCCTGCCTTGGTTCTCAGCCCCTGCCCTGAGGTGTCCACGGCTCCGGCCCCCTCCAGGGAACCACAATCGGCACCCTCCAGTACCCACCTGCCCACCCCATCCAGCTCCACTTTCTCTGTGCACCCGTGGCGCTGTCAGGGCCTGCGTGGGCCTTCTCCCCACTGGCTCCGTGACTCTCTCCATAGCCTGGTGTGGCCACCTTCCCGCTCTGTGCCCCTCCCCACCTGGCTCCGTGGCACAGTATGGCTCTCTGTCCCCATGGGGCTCCGTGGCCCGGTGTGGCTCTCTCCTCGCCCCTCTGTCCCCATGGGGCTCTGTGGCCCGGCGTGGCTCTCTCCTCGCCCTTCTGTCCCCATGGGGCTCCGTGGCCCGGTGTGGCTCTCTCCTCGCCCCTCTGTCCCCATGGGGCTCCGTGGCCCGGCGTGGCTCTCTCCTCGCCCCTCTGTCCCCATGGGGCTCTGTGGCCCGGCGTGGCTCTCTCCTCGCCCTTCTGTCCCCATGGGGCTCCGTGGCCCGGCGTGGCTCTCTCCTCGCCCCTCTGTCCCCATGGGGCTCTGTGGCCCGGCGTGGCTCTCTCCTCGCCCTTCTGTCCCCATGGGGCTCCGTGGCCCGGCGTGGCTCTCTCCTCGCCCGTCTGTCCCCATGGGGCTCCGTGACCCGGCGTGGCTCTCTCCTCACCCCTCTGTCCCCATGTGGCTCCATAGCCCAGCATGGCTTTCTCCCCGCTTCTTGCCCCTGTGTCCCTATGTGGCTCCGTGGCCTGGCGTGGCTCTCTCCCCCTCCTTGCCTCTCTGTTTCCATGTGGCTCCGTGGCGCAGCATGGCTCTCTCCAAACGTAGCTCCTTGGGATGTGGATGGTCCCGGGGGCGCAGCCTGGCCCTCTCCGTGGCCTCCTGCCGGGCTGTGTGTCTCTGCGTGGCTGGCTGTGCTGCTCTTAGCGTCCGGCTCTGGCGCAGGGGGCTCTGCTCCCCTCGGCGCTGGGCCGGGGTCTCTGTGTGGTCAGTGCTGTCCTGCTCCTTCTTGACTTGGTGTTTTTTCTTCTCTTCCCCCCCTTTTGTCTCTCGCTCGCTCTCCCCACCTGGCTGTCCCGCCCCCGTCTGCCCCCTCTATCTGTCCATCCCTCTCTATCCAACCGTCTGCCCCCTCTATCCATCGATCCGCCCTCTCCATCCATCCGTCCGTCCGTCTGCCCCCTCTATCTGTCCATCCCTCTCTATCCAACCGTCTGCCCCCTCTATCCATCGATCCGCCCTCTCCATCCATCCGTCCGTCCGTCTGCCCCCTCTATCTGTCCATCCCTCTCTATCCAACCGTCTGCCCCCTCTATCCATCGATCCGCCCTCTCCATCCATCCGTCCGTCCGTCTGCCCCCTCTATCTGTCCATCCCTCTCTATCCAACCGTCTGCCCCCTCTATCCATCGATCCGCCCTCTCCATCCATCCGTCCGTCCGTCTGCCCCCTCTATCTGTCCATCCCTCTCTATCCAACCGTCTGCCCCCTCTATCCATCCATCCGTCTGTCCGTCTGCCCCCTCTATCTGTCCATCCCCCTCTATCCAACCGTCCGCCCCTCTATCCATCCATCCCCCTCCATCCATTCGTCTATCCCCCTCTATCTGTTCTTCCCCTTCTATCCATCCATCCATCCGTCCGTCCCCCTCTATCCATCCGTCCGTCCCCCTCTATCCATCCGTCCGTCCCCCTCTATCCATCCGTCCGTCCCCCTCTATCCATCCGTCCGTCCCCCTCTATCCATCCGTCCGTCCCCCTCTATCCATCCGTCCGTCCCCCTCTATCCATCCGTCCGTCCCCCTCTATCCATCCGTCCGTCCCCCTCTATCCATCCGTCCGTCCCCCTCTATCCATCCGTCCGTCCCCCTCTATCCATCCGTCCGTCCCCCTCTATCCATCCGTCCGTCCCCCTCTATCCATCCGTCCGTCCCCCTCTATCCATCCGTCCGTCCCCCTCTATCCATCCGTCCGTCCCCCTCTATCCATCCGTCCGTCCCCCTCTATCCATCCGTCCGTCCCCCTCTATCCATCCGTCCGTCCCCCTCTATCCATCCGTCCGTCCCCCTCTATCCATCCGTCCGTCCCCCTCTATCCATCCGTCCGTCCCCCTCTATCCATCCGTCCGTCCCCCTCTATCCATCCGTCCGTCCCCCTCTATCCATCCGTCCGTCCCCCTCTATCCATCCGTCCGTCCCCCTCTATCCATCCGTCCGTCCCCCTCTATCCATCCGTCCGTCCCCCTCTATCCATCCGTCCGTCCCCCTCTATCCATCCGTCCGTCCCCCTCTATCCAAGGCTCTCCCCAGCCCAGTGAGGCTGGCAGCCAGGACTCCTGGGGTCTCTCCCTGGAGCAGGAAGGGGAGTAGGGTCTAGTGGTTAGAGTGGGACAGGCTGGCAGCCAGGGCTCCTGGGTTCCTTCCTCTGCTCAGGGAGCGGAGTGGGGGCTAGTAGTTAGAGCAGCGGGGGGGGCTCCCTTGGTTTCTCCCCAGCTCTGGGAGGGGAGTGAGGTCTAGTAGTTAGAGCCGCGGGGGGGGCTCCCTTGGTTTCTCCCCAGCTCTGGGAGGGGAGTGAGGTCTAGTAGTTAGAGCCGCGGGGGGGGCTCCCTTGGTTTCTCCCCAGCTCTGGGAGGGGAGTGAGGTCTAGTAGTTAGAGCCGCGGGGGGGGCTCCCTTGGTTTCTCCCCAGCTCTGGGAGGGGAGTGAGGTCTAGTAGTTAGAGCCGCGGGGGGGGCTCCCTTGGTTTCTCCCCAGCTCTGGGAGGGGAGTGAGGTCTAGTAGTTAGAGCCGCGGGGGGGGCTCCCTTGGTTTCTCCCCAGCTCTGGGAGGGGAGTGAGGTCTAGTAGTTAGAGCCGCGGGGGGGGCTCCCTTGGTTTCTCCCCAGCTCTGGGAGGGGAGTGAGGTCTAGTAGTTAGAGCCGCGGGGGGGGCTCCCTTGGTTTCTCCCCAGCTCTGGGAGGGGAGTGAGGTCTAGTAGTTAGAGCCGCGGGGGGGGCTCCCTTGGTTTCTCCCCAGCTCTGGGAGGGGAGTGAGGTCTAGTAGTTAGAGCCGCGGGGGGGGCTCCCTTGGTTTCTCCCCAGCTCTGGGAGGGGAGTGAGGTCTAGTAGTTAGAGCCGCGGGGGGGGCTCCCTTGGTTTCTCCCCAGCTCTGGGAGGGGAGTGAGGTCTAGTAGTTAGAGCCGCGGGGGGGGCTCCCTTGGTTTCTCCCCAGCTCTGGGAGGGGAGTGAGGTCTAGTAGTTAGAGCCGCGGGGGGGGCTCCCTTGGTTTCTCCCCAGCTCTGGGAGGGGAGTGAGGTCTAGTAGTTAGAGCCGCGGGGGGGGCTCCCTTGGTTTCTCCCCAGCTCTGGGAGGGGAGTGAGGTCTAGTAGTTAGAGCCGCGGGGGGGGCTCCCTTGGTTTCTCCCCAGCTCTGGGAGGGGAGTGAGGTCTAGTAGTTAGAGCCGCGGGGGGGGCTCCCTTGGTTTCTCCCCAGCTCTGGGAGGGGAGTAGGGTCTAGTGGTTAGAGTGGGACAGGCTGGCAGCCAGGGCTCCTGGGTTCCTTCCTCTGCTCAGGGAGCGGAGTGGGGTCTAGTAGTTAGAGCAGCGGGGGGGGGGCTCCCTTGGTTTCTCCCCAGCTCTGGGAGGGGAGTGGGGTCTAGTAGTTAGAGCAGCGGGGGGGGGGCTCCCTTGGTTTCTCCCCAGCTCTGGGAGGGGAGTGGGGTCTAGTAGTTAGAGCAGCGGGGGGGGGGCTCCCTTGGTTTCTCCCCAGCTCTGGGAGGGGAGTGGGGTCTAGTAGTTAGAGCAGCGGGGGGGGGGCTCCCTTGGTTTCTCCCCAGCTCTGGGAGGGGAGTGGGGTCTAGTAGTTAGAGCAGCGGGGGGGGGGCTCCCTTGGTTTCTCCCCAGCTCTGGGAGGGGAGTGGGGTCTAGTAGTTAGAGCAGCGGGGGGGGGGCTCCCTTGGTTTCTCCCCAGCTCTGGGAGGGGAGTGGGGTCTAGTAGTTAGAGCAGCGGGGGGGGGGCTCCCTTGGTTTCTCCCCAGCTCTGGGAGGGGAGTGGGGTCTAGTAGTTAGAGCAGCGGGGGGGGGGCTCCCTTGGTTTCTCCCCAGCTCTGGGAGGGGAGTGGGGTCTAGTAGTTAGAGCAGCGGGGGGGGGGCTCCCTTGGTTTCTCCCCAGCTCTGGGAGGGGAGTGGGGTCTAGTAGTTAGAGCAGCGGGGGGGGGGCTCCCTTGGTTTCTCCCCAGCTCTGGGAGGGGAGTGGGGTCTAGTAGTTAGAGCAGCGGGGGGGGGGCTCCCTTGGTTTCTCCCCAGCTCTGGGAGGGGAGTGGGGTCTAGTAGTTAGAGCAGCGGGGGGGGGGCTCCCTTGGTTTCTCCCCAGCTCTGGGAGGGGAGTGGGGTCTAGTAGTTAGAGCAGCGGGGGGGGGGCTCCCTTGGTTTCTCCCCAGCTCTGGGAGGGGAGTGGGGTCTAGTAGTTAGAGCAGCGGGGGGGGGGCTCCCTTGGTTTCTCCCCAGCTCTGGGAGGGGAGTGGGGTCTAGTAGTTAGAGCAGCGGGGGGGGGGCTCCCTTGGTTTCTCCCCAGCTCTGGGAGGGGAGTGGGGTCTAGTAGTTAGAGCAGCGGGGGGGGGGCTCCCTTGGTTTCTCCCCAGCTCTGGGAGGGGAGTGGGGTCTAGTAGTTAGAGCAGCGGGGGGGGGGCTCCCTTGGTTTCTCCCCAGCTCTGGGAGGGGAGTGGGGTCTAGTAGTTAGAGCAGCGGGGGGGGGGCTCCCTTGGTTTCTCCCCAGCTCTGGGAGGGGAGTGGGGTCTAGTAGTTAGAGCAGCGGGGGGGGGGCTCCCTTGGTTTCTCCCCAGCTCTGGGAGGGGAGTGGGGTCTAGTAGTTAGAGCAGCGGGGGGGGGGCTCCCTTGGTTTCTCCCCAGCTCTGGGAGGGGAGTGGGGTCTAGTAGTTAGAGCAGCGGGGGGGGGGCTCCCTTGGTTTCTCCCCAGCTCTGGGAGGGGAGTGGGGTCTAGTAGTTAGAGCAGCGGGGGGGGGGCTCCCTTGGTTTCTCCCCAGCTCTGGGAGGGGAGTGGGGTCTAGTAGTTAGAGCAGCGGGGGGGGGGCTCCCTTGGTTTCTCCCCAGCTCTGGGAGGGGAGTGGGGTCTAGTAGTTAGAGCAGCGGGGGGGGGGCTCCCTTGGTTTCTCCCCAGCTCTGGGGTCTCTGATTGGCCGGTTGACCCGTCGGGGTTTTTGGATTGGGCAGATACCCTGGCCTCGTTTTGTTTGACCTTTCACCTCCCTCCTGTGGCGGGGGGGGGAGCTCAGACCAACCCCGTCCGTTCGCCATGTGGGGCTCCGCCCTCCGGCCCTCTGGGGCTCCCATAACCCCCCTGGCCTTTTCCCGGCCTCCAGGCCCTGGGAGGGTTGACCTTTGACCTAGTGTGGGCCTGGGCAGATTGTCTGACCTCTTGACCCCCTTTCACGACTGCTGACCTTTGACCTCTCGTCACTTGCGTTTGACCTCTGACCCCACGCGGCCTGTTTCCGCCTCGGGCGCCCAGCCATTTGAGGTTGACCTTTGACCTCTCGGGCATTGGCCTTCGACCCTGTAGGCTTGACTTTGAACCTCGGCCGCGGCCAAGGGGCCCACCCCTGGGTCTCCGGGCCGGCTGCGAACTTTGGCCTCCCCGTCTGCTCGGTCTGGTTCAGGGCTGAGCCGCTTGCCTGTCCCTGCGGGAACGACTCACAATCCTGCAGTCAGGGTGTGACTCCGGATTGACTCTGGATTGACCCTGTGGCCTGAGAACTGAATCCAGGCCTGTCCTCATTGCAGTGAGGGCGTGACTCCACATTGACCCTGGCCGGCTGGGATCACAATCTAGCTCTACCCCCTTGCAGTCAGGAGTGACTCTGGATTGACTCCAGATTAACTCCAGTGGGCTGAGGTTAGAATCCAGCTTTGTCCCTGTTGCAGTCGGGGTGACTGTGGTTTGATTGCAGATGGACTCCAGCGGGCTGAGAGAATCCAGCTTTGTTCCCATTGTGGTTGGGAGTGACTCTGGATTGACTCTGGATTAACTCCAGCAGGCTGAGAGAATTCAGCTTTGTTCCCATTGTGGTTGGGAGTGACTCTGGATTGACTCTGGATTAACTCCAGCAGGCTGAGAGAATCCAGCTTTGTTCCCATTGTGGTTGGGAGTGACTCTGGATTGACTCTGGATTAACTCCAGCAGGCTGAGAGAATCCAGCTTTGTTCCCATTGCAGTCGAGGGTGACTCTGGATCGATTGCGGATTGAGTCAAGCAGGCTGAGAGAATCCAGCTTTGTTCCCATTGCAGTCAGGGTGACTCTGGATTGACTCCAGCGGGCTGGGAGAATCCAGCTTTGTCCCTGTTGCGGTCTGGATTGACTCTGGATTAACTCCAGCAGGCTGAGAGAATCCAGCTTTGTTCCCATTGCAGTCGGGGTGACTCCGGATTGGCCCACAGGGATGAGACCTGACTCAGTGACTGCTTTTAAACCCCTTGCGTCTCTGGAACAGACCACGATGCCTCCATCCCCCTTCCCGAATTCCCCTCCCCCATCACAATGTACACATTTTTCTATGCAGAAGCATAAGCCTTAATTCCCAGCGCCCGCTACGCCCCCTGCAGGACAGCGATGGAGCCACAGAAACCAGCCTGCCCCCCCCAAACATCTGGACAGCCCTCCATGCTTCTGTGGGCCTTCCGCCCCCCCATCCTTGGTGGTGCCCTGGAGCCAACAAACCTTTGACACCGACGACGCTCGCGCCCGCCTCTCCGGAGCCGCTTTCTGGAGCTTGCTCTGCCCCCGCCCGCCCCGTCTGGACTTGGGGCCTTACCCACCTGTGTGCACTGGGGTTGCCGCTTCGGGGGCAGGGGGAGGGGGATCCTGCCCTCCCCCAAGTTTCACTCATCAGGGATTTTGAGCCTCCAGCGGTGGAGTCGGACGGGGCCGTGCTGATCCCGATTGGTGGCGAGCGTGCACGTGCAGGAGGGCAGGTGTACACGGGGCCGTGCGAAGCAGCCAGGGGGCCAATGGGCCGTGCAAGATGGAGGCGTGTGCAAAGTGTGTGGCTTGCACTGACCTGCCTGGTGGTGGGTGTGTAAAATGTACGTGACTTGGTGTGTGGGGGGGGCTGATGCTGCTCCCTCCCCGTGGGAGTCAGGCACAAGCCTGCGTGCCATTTGCACAGATCCTTTGTGCGGCGGGTGTGCAAAAGGGTTGGCACTAATTGCCCCCAAAGGGGCGGGCATGGAACAAGTGTGATTTGCATGGAGCTAGTGACCAAAATGGGAGGGGGAATTGGCACAGATCTCCCCGGCAGCAGGTGTGCACAATGACTGTGTCCTGGCCTCCTCTGCTGTGCAGCCAGCGAGCTCAGTTATTGGGGCTGGCGTGCAAAACGTGCACCAATTTCCCCTGCGGTGGGTGAGCAACACAAGTGTGCATTGCACGGATCCACCGTGGACTGGGAACTTGTGCTGAATTCTCAGGCGGTTGTTGTTACAAAATGGGCGTCATTTGCACTAATTTGTGGAGTCATCAGTTTGCAAAGAAGGGGAGGGGGATGGTGCATATCCCGCCCTCCCCCGTCGCAGGTGTCCTGGGCAAGTGTGCATTGCACGAATCAGCAGTGGTGCAAATGGCTCCGGCTTTCCGTGTGGATGGATGGGAACGCAAAGTGGGGGTGAGTCGCACGAGAGGGATGTGTGCCTGATGTGCTGAAGCTGTGTGGCTTACCCTTGATAACGGGGGAGCCGAGCAAAATGAGTGGTGCTGGTGCAAATTGAGTGTGCAGCAGGGGAAGGGGGATTTGCACGGATTTCTCCAGTGGTGGGTGTGTAAGGTGAGTGTGCCCCGATGCCCTATGCTGACAGGTCTCCCAGCGTGTGTGCCCCGTGGGTTTTCTGACCTGGGCACGAGTACACAGGGAGGGGGGAAGAGGGAATGCACAGAGAGCTGGCCATGCGTGCACCCCACAGAGCTCCGTCCTCCCCATCTCATAGCCTGCCCCCTGTAAATACAGCCCCAGGGTCCTGCGACCGGCTGCTCGATGAGCTGTATGGAGGGAAGCCAGCTCTGTCTGGCAGAGAACCAGATGGAATAAAAAGGATCATGCAACCCGGCGTGGATTCTGTACCGTTCTGTGCTGCATCCCCCTATCTCCCCAGGCCAGGGTATCCCCGGCTGCTCAGCTTTGGCTGGGGGGCTGTGCTGAGGGAACCCAGCAGGGGGCTAGTCGGGTGCTGTGGTGCTGACTAGGATCTGAGACCCGAATCTGACTTTTTCGACAAGAGTTGGGTGTGACCCCAGCATCCGGGTCAAAGCCCAGTTCCAAAATAATCTCGTTCAGCCTCCCTAAATCCAGTGGCCCTGCCCCAGAGGCGGCTGCATCTCAGCCCTGAGCGACCTGTCCCCTCGCAGCGTTCTGTGTGGCTGTTTCCCCACAGCCCCGCCCCAGAGGCGGCTGCATCTCAGCCCTGAGCGACCTGTCCCCTCGCAGCGTTCTGTGTGGCTGTTTCCCCACAGCCCCGCCCCAGAGGCGGCTGCATCTCAGCCCTGAGCGACCTGTCCCCTCGCAGCGTTCTGTGTGGCTGTTTCCCCACAGCCCCGCCCCAGAGGCGGCTGCATCTCAGCCCTGAGCGACCTGTCCCCTCGCAGCGTTCTGTGTGGCTGTTTCCCCACAGCCCCGCCCCAGAGGCGGCTGCATCTCAGCCCTGAGCGACCTGTCCCCTCGCAGCGTTCTGTGTGGCTGTTTCCCCACAGCCCCGCCCCAGAGGCGGCTGCATCTCAGCCCTGAGCGACCTGTCCCCGTGCGGCGTTCTGTGCAGCTGTTCCTCCACGGCCCCGCCCCAGAGCTGGCTGCATCTCAGCCCTGAGCGACCTGTCCCTGTGCAGCGTTCTGTGTGGCTGTTCCCCCACAGCCCCGCCCCAGAGGGG